GGTCTCTGCATCATAACGGAGGAATGAAAGAACTAAAGAAGTGGTCAGTAGCTGGATTTATGGGGGAACCAGTTTGTGGTTCTGAAATTTCTTAGCTGGACTTGACCAGAACTCTGGTCTGAACTGCATCCGTCAGATGGATTCCTGGTTTCACTGCTTCCTCCTTTCATCTCAAAGGTTTTGGATTCAGATCCCAGCCGGTTCCCTGTTCTTCCCATGCAGCCAGGTTCTTTTGGGTTCATTTTTTTGCAGTACCAATTTACCATAAGGCTCCTACCTGAACTGTTTCTGACTGATCTCACAGGGGATGAACCAAACTACCCTTCCAGAGGGAAGACCATCCTCTGGGGGACGTTCTCAGCCAAGAAGATGACAGGAACATTGATCTAACAGTCGTGGATCAGAGTTCACAATAAACCAGAAAAACAGGAAAAGGTGGCAGATTTTTCTACAAGTGCAACAGAACCTTGTGACCAACATCTGTAATGTTTCTGTCTCGCTCCGACACCAACCTCAGCCGTTATAACTGACTGTAGTTGGTGTCGCGTATGAGCCGCCTGACTAATGCGGCAGGTTTGCTTGCTGTTTATCTCAAACCCAGAGTCCCCAGCCAACCTTTCAGACTGGTTCTGCCTTAACATGCGCAGACAGCGGCGGTCAGGCTGGAGCAAAAGGTCAATTGGTACAAGGAACCAGTAAATGTGTAACATCTGGGCTGGGAACGCTGGGCAGCCTGCTTTTGTCAGGACGGATATAGAAACACAAAGAGCTGAGAACAATGACGGTTTCCAATCAAGCTGCACATCTCTGCTGTGGTTTTACTTCAACCACTCAGTTATCATCTCCAGTCTAGCCTCAGACGGAGAACAGTTTAAAAAATAAATGTTTCTCATTGTTTGGCCTCCAGAACCACCATGGACCGTCTGAACGTCTGTAGCAACCATAAAGCTTTGTGTTTGTCTCTAGCATTTAAACACACTGATTGTTTTCTGCTAAAACCAAAGATTTTCATCCACCAGTGTTGAGATTTTCAGGCTTATGATTATTTATTGGATCTGTTCTCTGTTTCTTTTGGGCTGCTGGAGAATGTACTGATTTATTGTGGATTTTCTCTAATCTACACTGTTAATAATGTATACATGCAAGCTCAAATATATACATACCCCACCCCACCCTATTTCTGGCTGACTGTCCTGTAGTAAGATGGATCATGATGTCAGTGTAGCCTTAAAACAGCTGAGCTGGATGCTTTGATGGGGCCACTACAGCACCTTAATGGGATCCGGGGCCGCTCCGAGCCTCCATGGGCCTCTAAGAAAAATAAGATTTTGGGGCCCCTCTGTTTCTCTATCGCTGCTTCGCTCTCACACCTGCTCTAAACTCACTGCAGCTGTGGCATAGTGCCGTTACAGCCCTTTATCTGAAAGCATCACTGCTAAAAGTCATGAAATTACAGAGGATGCATTATATTTGCATCAAACTTTTCATGTGGTTTAAACTTGTTGTTTCCAATCACAACAAGGATGTGAAAAAATAACCTACAGATTAAAAATCTTTGCTAAATAACAAAATTTGACGTTTTTCAAAAACAAACATTATTAAATCAAACAAACAATAAAATATCTTAATAAAACTAAAGATATTATGATGTTAGCATATTTAGAAATTATTATAAAAATACAAACAACCAAAGGTTAAATTGTTCTTGGAGACCCTAACCTTATGTTTGGTCCACTTAGAACCATCTAAATGAGTAAATAGGACCTCAGTACTTTTCTCTAAAGTTCCCACGATGTGTAACATAAAGCTTATTGTCAGGGTTCCTTGTATCCCTTGTTTGAAATGTCTGATATTCCAATAAATGCTTTTTCGGCTGCTGAGAAGAAACTGCTGCTAAACTCGATCAAGGTCACCAAATGTTAACATGTTAGAGCTTCAGATTTGGTTGAATGTATCCATATATTTAAGCCTGTTTGTATCAATTCACGACTGTGACAATAAACTGAAAATAAATGCAAACATTTTATGTTTGACATTAGTGTGCTTTTAAAAAAAATCCTGCAAGAAGAATAAAAAAAAAAAAACAAGCCCAAACCATAACACCATCTCTACCGTGTTACAGAGATGGTTTTCTTATGTCTTTGTTTCTTCATGTAAACGAGTGAAGCAGCATCCCTGTTCTTTACATGCATGTGCAGGTGAAGGTTATTTAACTTTTTACCAGTGGTAGTTATGTGTTAAATAAACCAGGACAGAAAACTAGTGTTGCACCAATACCATTATTGGGCGGGGTCCCAATCCAGCACTAAAATGGTGGTATCGGTATCAGCGAGTACCAACGAATAGGTCACCAATACCATTTTGAGAGGCAAAAGTTTATTAAACTATTGTGACCCATTCCAGGTAGGCAATAAAAAGTTCTACTGGATTCACTTTGTATTAGTCTTTTTCCTGCTTCACAAAGGTAGGCAGCAGCTTGATAAAGCCATGATGGCAATTATTTTACATCCAAGTAGTTTGCAGTTCTTCATATATACACACACATCAATTTTAAACAGATGGTATCGGCCGATACTGCACAGCCAGTAATCGGGTATCGGGGCCAAAAAATAGCATCGCCGCAACACTGCAGGAATTCACTGAACTGAATCTTATCTTTGATCATCTCAGGAGGCTTCAGAACAAATCAGGAGGTGAACCCTTCCTTTTAAAAACCTGAAATTATCCACTGCTTGGTAACCGTCCCTCGTTTTTAGGTCTATTCCATTTTATTTGGTCTTTAAACTCTTGGACCACTAAGCAAAGAGAAAAGCACTTTTAATTCGACTCTCTGAAGGTTTGGTAAATGTATGTCTACATCCAGACCAACAATGTGATTTCCAAGGTGCAGATGTTCTAAGAGCGACCACTAGAGGGGGGGAGGCTGATCAACATGGTTACAGGCACCTACTGGAGCACCCCACGGTCAGAACAGAGAGGGAAGTGGCAGTTAAAGGGAGTTTAAGGTGTGTTTATGAGAGGAGCTCCTTGTTACTCTCTTCTGCCCTCTGCTGGACATTTCAGACACTTCCAGCTGCATGTAGTTGTCTCCATCTGCATCATCTTCTGCGCCACATCTGATTCTGTGTTAGGTTTTTAACAGTGAGGCCTTTCACTTTGTGTGTTACAAATAAGATTTGAGCAACAAAAATCCCTCTAATTTAGCTTGTTTAATCTATATAAGAGACTCTGAGCTGCACTGGGGGGTAAAAGCTTGAATCCTCTTGTTTTTGGATCTCTTGTGTTGGCGCAGACTTTAACTTAAGGCACATGGCTACTTGTCTGTTACTCCCATCATGCTGCTTTGCTCAGTTTATGCTGTAGGATTCAGAGCCCCCCATGACTCTCTGGTTTGTTTTCTTTGTTGTCTCTCACAGTTGGAAGCCGAGCTGTTTTCAGAGTTAACTGTGGCGTTAGAAGTCCCAGGGCTCGCAAACCAAAACAGTTCGGGTTTCAAAACGGTGGTTGGGATGAATCTCAGCTGATCTATTTTGGATTAAATGGATTAAAACATGACAGAAAGATGGACCTCATAAGAAACGTCTTGGTTGTGCAGCATAAATTCTCTTAAACACCTTTCATTTTCTCATTTCTACATCAAATAAATCATCTTTTTATCTTTTACTTGGTTCTGTTTGATCAGTTACAGCTGCTGCCTATGCATTTAGCTCTGACCATAACTGTTTATACAATAGCTGGTGAACTGTGCACTAAGACAATATGTATGCATATTTCTTTCATAAACTCTTGACTGCTTGTTTTTTCCTCTGTGCTTTATGGTTTGTTTTTTGTTTTTTAGCATCAGGAGCAGCTTGATCCAAAGTGACTTTCTCACAGATATAACCCAGAAAAAACTGCAGATACATGGATGTCTCACAGATTTTTGTTTTAGACATGAGATACTGAATATTTATTTTTTGGAAGTGTATAATATGACAGTACTTTTATGAAAGAAATACGGAAATAAATCAATATTTTTATCAACTTACTCTGAGTTTTGTTTCTCTTTATCTAATAAGTTGATTTATGGTATTTATGCAAAATGTTCAGCAGCTCCCAGGGAAGACTAAATGTGTTTTTGTCACACATCATATCATGTCTATTTCCTTAACCTGTTTAAGGCTTTGTTTCACAGATACAATCATCTTCCTTTTAACTTTCACCCAGTATGTCTGCTTTGCTGTTCAATCAGCACCCAGAGCTCACACCTACAGTAAACAACCCTAAGCTTTAATCCTCCCTTAGCCCTAAATCAACGATTCAACAGGATAAGTTAGCTTTGATATCTAGTTTGGGGAAAATTGCTCCTGCTTTATATCCCTTAAAAAGAACTTTCCAGGATCACATTTGAGAAACAATGTATTTGAGCTTCACTTGCAAATGCATCTGTAATTAAGAATGTGATTTATTTAAAACATTTTCAATCAGAACTACTTTTACAATTTAGCTAATTAATTTTACTTCGACTTAGACAGTACTTTATTGATCTCTTGGGAAGACTCCCTTCGGAAATTAAGGTTACCAGCAGCTTACAGGGCAAAAAAGTATTAAGTTAAATTAAGTTAAAATTAAGCAAAATACAAATACAAAAGATAATACAGATTAAGTACAGTGTATATAATAGGAGTTGTGTGTATGTAATATACATGTTCAAATTACTTCAGTTTACTTTTAAAGTGCTGGATAGCAGCATCTTTCACCTAAGAGTT